AGTTGTGAAACACTGCAACAGCACACTGGAAGTGTTCAGTCGGGATAGTAGAGCATTTCATATAAAACCTGTCCCTTTTCGTGTATGTCATTCAAAGTAGCGATGAAATTCAGCAAAAAAACCCCGTTACAGAACACTTCTGCGACGTGCTTCTCTCTGTCTCTAGAATGAAAAAAAATTGCCATCCTGTGAAACACAAAACTTCTTATCTGAGTGAAAACTCCTTGAAGTTTAGCAAAAGTTCAGCCACTTTTTCTTATGGTTTATTGCTCGAGTGCTGGGTTTGCTACGTCAGAGCCCATCTTGAACTTGCTTTTATTTCAAGAGGTGGATATTGGGTTAGTGCCCTGGTGGCGTGTGCCCTCATCCACCCAAACCCAGAATGTGCTGGCTTTGTTTCGTCCACCCAAAAAAAATGAATTAATTGTTTAGCCCTTAGTTGGAATGTTGCGTTTCCAGTCTCCCAGGGAAATGTAGTTATAAATATAATAACTGGCATAATTATTGCAGCGAACTATTACATAGCAGTATACGTGTGGCACGCGCCCTGCAATCCCACAGCCAACTTCTCTGTTGGGGTTTTCAATAACACAGTCTATATCAACATATAAGTGCTAATCTAGAGGTGCGTAAAGCATAAACCTGTTGTGTTTCCAAAATACTTTCCATGGTATAAGTAGATTTTAAATATTGAGGCCTAGTTATTTGACAGTTAATTTTTTAATTATTTTTTAACTGGTGCAGTATGAGACATCCTTCTGGTCATCCACGGAAACACATTACACTTGTGTTTTGTGCCCTTACTGCAGACTGGCTGCGTGTTTATTTTGCAATATGGATTGTGCTCTGGCTCACTGGCCATACTTGTGGGTTTATAAATCAGTTAATAGAAACAGTCTTGGTTTGTTTGTTTGCTTTGTTTTCGTTGTGTTTTGATATCCCCCCGGAGCTGCCTATGTGATCTTAGGTAGGTCGCTTATATTCAGAGACATACCAAAGTGTTAAATGCCCATGAGTTGATGCCTCTGTGGGTCCTTGTTTTAGCCTCTCCCGGTGTCATTTCTCAGTCTTTAACTGGGAAGAGCAACGATGTCTTAGCTCAAAGAGATGTCATTAAGGTTAATATGGTCATGACTGAGTGTGACTCGTATCAAATGCTGGAACTGTATGAGCAGACAAGCCTGGACTGAACTGTGCCATAATTTGTGCTCCACACTAAGAGTGACAGAGTGAAATGCCTTAAAAACAAGGAGCAAGGGTTGTGTTCGGAAATGCTGAGACTTCAAACGAAAAGACTGGAAGCAGGGATGTTGCTCTTGGGTAGCCAGGTACCAGAGCCACAGCTCCTTCTCAGTCTCTGTAGTGCAAGTGCAGGCACGATGTTGGAAAGATTTCTTACAGAATTAAGCTTTTCAAAAAGTGTGTGGGTGTTTGTTTTTTTGTTTTTTTTTTTTTTTTTTTTTTTTAAAAAGCTGTAGAAGTAGTTAATCAGTTCTGTTAACAAGGGTGCTTTGGAGAACTGAACAGAATTTGTCCCTCAGGAATGGTGCAGAGTAGGCTGCCGTGGCTCTTGGCATGCTCCCTCCTAGAGCTATTAACAGCGCCGTAGATGTGCAGGGGGGTGCATATCTGCGGCTCTGTGCCCTAGCAGAGTTAAAACAAGAATAGGCGATGTGCTAATGTTGTCAGGAATAGTCTTGCTTTGGCAGGGAAACAGATTAGACAACTTGATAAGTGTTCCTTTAAAAAAAGAAAGTCTATTGCTTGAGCCGGCGGTACAGTACAAGGTACTGCTTTAAAAGAAGTCAACAGTGACTTTTTAATAAATACAGTACAGGTGATCCCAAAGAAATCTTCCCTAGCCCACACAGGGTAAGGAACAGGGAGAGATAAAGTACTTTCTGCTGGTTTATTTCCTTCAGTTCTTTGTCATGTATAGGAATGGGGTGTACTACTTTCTAATTAATTCAGACTCCAGGTTTGTTCCTTGTATTATACTTTCAGAACAGCAGACCCCATTACAGCAGCATGTGTAGTCAATGAGTAGGAACTTGGGACCAAGTTATATCCTTACGATTCCCTCACTTTAATGCGCCTTGTGTGTAAGCTAAAACATGTGTGAGGCTTAGGAAGAGATCCCAGTACTAGGGAGAGGCGGGAGCAGGGAACGTGCCACTCGAGGTAGCATCGTTGGGAGGAAGCTGGAGAGGGGAATGGTGTAACAAAAAGGCATTCAGAGGTTCAAATGAGTAACTGAAATCTGATGGAAATTGCAGAAGATTGAGTAGATCTCAAACTTGACATCCAAAGCTGGAATCTGGGGGACTCTAGACGAACTCTCTTGTAACTGCTGTGTTCAAGCTGAGGGGAACCATGCCTGTTCTGTTGAAACAATGCATTTTCTAGACACTTCAAATCTGTCTTGTTGTGCTGAAGTAGTCATCTTTGCTGAATAAGATGTTAGCAATTTTCCTCTTACAGAACATCTGCTTTCTGACTGAATCACCGAACAAGCGGCAGGCTTGTTTGAGCCTGCTGCCCTCCCTGCGCTGCTCACTGCCTCCTGCCTTGCCGAAGGGTGTGGGCTGGGTTTCATCACCGAGGTGTCAGGCTTAGGTTCCTTGGTGTCTGCAGGAGTGTCCTCCTTATTGAAAGGACAGTGGTGTTCAAGTACCATTTGCTTTGGCGCTTTTGAATGAGAACTTCACACCTTGTTTTCGAGAATCAGAGAGCAGAACAGCTTAGAGCTACAGAGAAGAAAAAAGCAGCAAGATTGTGGCGATACTTTTATCTTCCATGAGTTTTGAAATGACTCATAAATGGGATTCATCTTGTATAACCTTTAAACACAGAGAGCAGAGAATGAATTTGGTAAATAATCTGAAAAACCCCATATAGAAGTAGTTTATCAGCAAAATTACCATCGGGTTTGTTTTCACTGAGAAAGTAGGTTTCTTTAATCACCTGCCAAAGTTTTATGCAAATACTACAACCCGAAGCACAAGTATTTCGGATTGGTAGATGTGTGCCTTGGAAGCTTGGCGTTTTGTTAACTGCTGGGGCTGAGCTGATTGATTAGAATTGGTGGGTGACGTCAAGTGATTGATGTAATGTTTCCTTTTTGCTTGTAAGATCATTTGAGATCAAATGAAGACCTTTTTATAAGGTAATCGGTAGGGATGCCTGTTTCAGGTGGAGGCGAGTACCAAAGAACACGGGTATTTCTGAGGTAGGAGGGCATGGATACAGCTGCTTTGTTTTGCTTGTGTGCTGTGAACTGTGCTTTCTCTTTTGGGGAGCACTGAGTCAGTCATGCAAGAGTGAAGGAGTAAAGGCAAACAGAGGAGCTAGGTCTGTATATCCAGCCGAAGTGCTTTCCTCAGGAGGAAGATGCTTTCTGGCGCTGCAGCAGCAGGAGAAGCAAACAACTCTTGTCCTGTGCCCACCTGGAAGCGTGGCAGTAATGTGTTAATCTTTTGAAGTGAACAAGTTTCTATGGCTAGGTAAAAATTTGCCTGTAAAATGGCTTGATTCTGTTGGTGATACATTACCCTTTTAATTAAATAGCTGACTTCTGCTTGACAATTAATTGGAGTGATGAATGATTTTTATTAGAAACCCGTGACTAATTTTTTCTTGCCGTTCTTGCTGTCTTATTGTTCTTGCCTACCCTCCTCCAAAGCTGCTGCTGCGTGCCAGCCATGTCCTCCAGGCACTGGGGCAGACCAGTGTTCTCTTGCTGAGGCTTTTACCTGTTCCAGATAAAGCAATTGTTTTCAAACATTTTTCCATGTCACCTTTCAGAAATTTTCCATTTCATCACAGTTCTGCTTTTCTTTTTTGCTTTGAAAGACTGAGATTTTATTTTTTAGATAAACTTAAAAAAACCCCAAACACAAACCCCCCAACAAACCTCACCACCACCACAACAAACCCCTACGCTGTGTAATACAGAGTGCTAGCTTCACCTAGTACCACATTTCCTGCTTCATTAAAATAACTGCCAGGTTAAAAAAAATCCTTCCTGCGGTAGTCTGTGCGTCTAGAATAATCTGCTAGCAAAGTCAGGTGAATTTTAGCTGTAGTTACAATGGGCAAGATTCAATGTGGATGTGACTGGAGACATCTCTAGTAAAATCGGTAGAGGGGCATCTACAAAGCACTCTTGCCCCTTACCTTATTCTTCCAGATGCTAAGAAGTTGAAGCTCAAGCCTTTCTGTTACGTTACAACAAACTGTGATATGGACAATTAACGTTTTTTCCACTTAGAAAGCTCTTTAGTCTTTTTATAGGAATTTGTTTCCATGGGTGAACTTAGGCATGGATGAGTGGGGAACAATGCATTGTTTGTTAAAACGAACTTTTTTGAAGGGAGTGGGCTTAAAAGGAAGGAAATGTGGTTTAGATTTAAGTTTCTTTTGAAATTTCTTCCTCTTCTTTTTCCTCATCCCCCCACAAATCAAAAAGCCAAACAACTAGGCGTCCCCAAGCTCATGTTTCACCATACATATATCTAAAATATTTGGCATGATATGGAAAACCAGAGAGGAAAATGGTCAGTTTAAAAATTACTGTCTTGGTTATCCTTCCCTTCCCTCTCTGGGTTGTTCTCCCTCAAGAACATGTAGCTTTTGTCTCAGCTCTTCTGGTTTACACATTTGGCAGGATTTTATCTAGTCTGTGTCACTGGTGTGTGTAAAATAATATAAGCTTCAATTTATCCATGTGTTTAAATATTTTGCTGAATCAGGTCCTCATGTTCTCTGATACCTGGGTTGATTATTCACAGTGTCGCTCTGGAAGGAAGAACCCTAGGGGTGGGGGTGAAGATACGGGGTGAGCTCAAGGCAGGAATACAATTTAATTTTTAATTTGCTAGATCTAGAGTGGGCAGTTGGCTGGAAATCTCTCTTTCTCTCCCTCTTATTAGCAGTCGTCTGTGAGCTCCCACGTGACGAGTGTCCTTGCTGCTGGGCTGGAGCGCCTGATGCTGGCTACCATGGCTGATCCCGGAGCAGAAGAACACGCGTCCCAGGTTAGCGAACTCTGCTGCGAATGTGGTCAGTTCCACCTCTTGCTGGACAATCATCTCTACAACTTCCAGGATGAGGTGGATGATGAACTTGTCTGCCACATCTGCCTCCAGCCTCTGCTCCAACCTATGGACACTCCCTGTGGACACACATACTGTTTCAAGTGCCTTGAAAACTTCATGCAGGAGTATAACTTCTGTCCTATGTATCGGAAGAAGCTCTCTTTCCAGCAGTGCCACAAGTCCAGCCTTCTCGTACGAAACCTGTTGGATAAGCTGATTGTCTTCTGTCCTTTCAAGGCAGAGTGTCAGCAGACGATGCAGCGCTGTGAACTAGAAGCTCATCTGCAGAACAGGTGCATTCCCACTTACGTTTTATTATTGCTCCTCCTATAATGCCATCTGTCTGTTGTGCTTCCGATCCATTCTCAGAACAGTGGTTAAACTGGGGCAAGATGGGACACCATGGATGACAGAGGGTGAGGCCAGAGAGGTGGGTGGGTGAAGACAGCGTAATTGTGTGTGCATGTGTTATGGAGGCCAGCTCACATCTGCCGCAGAGGTGACAGGTGAGCTGCTTGCATGCCAGTTGTCAACAGACACAAAACCTATCAAACCTACCTAAATTTGTGTGTCCTGATCTGGGGCACCCGACTCTGAAAATTATTATAAACGTGCTTATTCTTGTTTCACTTGTGCAGAGAAGAAAGACAGGCACAAAGTCAACACTCTGGAAGCAAGGGATTGTGCAGTGTTGCCAGTTTAATTGGTCCAATTAAGATGTGCAATACATAAGTCTTTGATCCAAATAATGTAAGTCCCTCCAAGCTGCACACTGTGCAATTGCTGAGTTACCTACTTATAATTCCATTATCTCTCTTTCTTTTGCTGAGAAAGAGAAGAAAATGAAAACCACTATTTTTTTCCCCCCTTGTGCAGAGGAAGGCAGTGGGGTGTTTTTTTTCCTTGTGCTTGTCAGCAGAGATGTGTTTTGGTGCTTCCACTGCTGGCAGAGGTGGTGGCAGGCAGAAAATTGTAGCTTTAAAAGACGTGCAGGTGACAAAGCTCTTGCCGTGGTGCTTGAAGAACCTTGTTCCTACCTAGTTAATGATTGCAGGCAAGGGAACCAAGTACAAGCTGTACTGCAGGCGGAAGCAGAGCTTCGTTGGCAGTGGGTATTTTGTCCGTGGGCAATGAGAAGCCCAACGGGCTTGTTTCCTTTCAGCTGTGTGGTAGCTTTTTGTGGCAATGACATGTTTTAAAATAGGTCAACCAGTGTGCAGGGAACAGTTATGCTTAGGATACCTCTGCAGTTCCAGCCAAGGATGTATCCTTGCGGTGCTTGCTTGTCTTTGGTACCCACGAGCTGAGAGCTTGTGTTAGAGCCAGGGGAAGTGACGGAAGGTGCTCGTGTGCCCCTTTCCCTCGATCTGTGAAAGCTTATCATCTCCTTTTTCTTGCACAAACTCATTGTGCTGCTTTCCTGTGTTCCGACTGCAGGGACAAGGCTGCCCAGCTGTGTGGCTGTTTTGTAGCTGGGGCCATACCAGGGCTGAGCCTTCCTCTGCTCTGTAAATCTACCCTGAAATCAATAAACTTCTGTCACTTGTTAATCCCTTTGGCACAGCAGTTAAAACACAGAAGCGGGAGGCACCCTTAAATGTTTATGTTAGAGACCTGCCTGGAAACTGTATCATTCTCATATACATTTCATAGTTCTTTGTATCTTCCTTGGGGAGGTTGTGTTCTAAAAATCCAGGCTGTTTCACCTGGGCTGTGAGCATAGTTAGGCTGAAAAACTGAAAACAAAAAAGAGAGGAAAAAAATTACACAGGGATTTGGGTGTTCCTGTATTTTTTTAGTGTTAAGTGAGATTAACGGATAGCAGGAGACTTAAGGAAGTAAGGTGCATCTAGGAACCTTTTTTTCATGGCAGATTTCTCTGCCCTTTGCAAAATGAATTTGTTTCTTGACATCTTAAGAGGGACATATGCACAAGAGGATCAATCAGCTGCTGTTTTTAACTTTCAGGGTCATCCTACTGCTTGGAGGATAAATGACTAGGAATAAACCAGAGGAAGTAATACCGGGATGAGACTTGTTTAGCCAGAATGTAAATAGTCGAGTTTTTAATTTGAAAAGTGACTCTGGTAAACACCCAACACTACTCATGTCTCTGAAAGTGATGCTTTTGCATCCTCACCTGCCACCTTTTTTATTACTCTTGATAAAAGCTTGGTTTTCCTCACTCATTTTTGCTGACATAGGCCGGCCATGATATAGCTACATACAGAGCAGGTTTTGAATGCAGAATTGAATGCAGAATTCCTTCTTGAATCTCCATGTGGGGAGCAGTCAGTGAGCTTATAAATTGTAAATTGCTGCTGTTCAAGTAGAGCCATCACCTGTGTGGACTGGAGGTGGAATGTTTTCTGAGGGGCAGGTCTGCAGGTCTCGCTCAGCAAAAAACCCAAGCAGGCCTCGTGTGCTGCTCTTGCATGTTAGTGGTTTGTTAAAAACAAAGCCTAATTCAAGGCTGAGCTTGAAACTTGAGCCACTTCCTTTGCGTAAAGATATTTCACAGTCATCTCTAAAAGGTCAGAGCTAAGTATTTGCTTATATTTTAAGAGGTATGGTTTTCTTCATCGAGTGTTTGCCAGGCAAATATTTAGCAAGGGAGACTCCTGTTCCTATTACATTCTCCTTTTCTAAATGATTTGCTTAATTTTGACAGTAACAAAATAACAAGCCTAGTCTTAAGCTGGTTACAAGTAGAAGCTGAAGGTCAAATGAGACTAAGTTTTAGCATCTGTGATACAAGCTTTGCAGCTGATGAGATCTTGAACGTGCTTCTTCACAAAGCTTGTGTCAGTCAGAGCTTGCTTGTGCTGGTTAAACTACCCACTTAGTTGCTGACGATCTCTTTCTAGGTGTCCTGGTTTCAAGAAATACAAATCTGAACTACAGCGGAAAAAGAATCCCATTTCCAAAGGGAAGGAAGATCCCCCCGCCAAGGTGGAGACAAACACGCCCAAGGATCCGGAGGCACCAAGTGGAGGATCATCACTTGTGGCAGAAAGCTCTGCAGCTGCTGTGGTAGCGCTAGGGACTGCAGAGCCTGGACTGGTTAATCCAGCTTTTGAGGAGACTGAAGAAGGTGAGAGTTTGATACAGAAATGAAACTGTGTAATTACCTTTTATAATATAAAAATGAGGTAATTATCTCAGTTCAATTTTTAAAGTGTCCCCACCATTCTTAGATAGCCCCAAGGCTCTTCAGCCCCTAGTAGCCATGGGAGTGATCTCTTTCCTCAGCTCGTCCTTGAGCAGATGGGAGAGGCATTCATGTGCCTCAGGTGTGGCAGGATCTGGTCATGAGCACAAAACTGCCTGTGCAAAACAATTCGGAGAATCTCTGTTAGACTGCAGTGAGTATTTGCAGTTCTCTTTGCAGAAGCAGTGGCAGTCCCTGCCAATGTGAACACGGAATGCTTAGAAGCCAAATAATTAGTAATTAGGAAATGTTCCAGCTTCTCAGTTTTGTTAAGAAAGTTAAATATACAGTCAGTTTCCTGGTGTGGTCAATACCTCCCTAACGGTGTGCAGCAAGTGTGTTTTTATAGCATAACTGAGTTTTTGGGTTAATAGTTCTGAAACCCTTGCAGATAAAAGTAACCATCTCCACCTCAGCGTGGAAATCTCTTCGCCTTGTTCCCAAGTTAGCCTCAGTTTCCACATGAGCAGGTGCTGGCATCTGCTCTGCCTGTGCCAGAGTGAATATGGAGGTCACTTTGCTTCTCTGCTGGCGTCTTCCTGAAGTGCACACTCTGGGCAGGTTTTGCATCTCTTGTGTGACAACTGCAGCTCACCCTGACAGGCAGCACGCTTGGCTTCATTAGTGTTGGGCCTGCCTCAGTGTTCCAGGGCTGGTAGGTTTAATACCACTTGCTAACAGCAACTTTCATCTTCAAAGTGTCCGAGAAGCATCACTTAGTCTTCGGTATGCTGTGAATAGTAAACACTACTCCTGTTTTACAGGGGGGGGGGAAAAAGGAGGAAAGGAAATTACAGGAGGGAAGTCGCAGTGAGCTGCCTGTGGTAAAGTCACCGCAATGGCAGACCAGTAATTACAGCTGAGTGGTCCCCTTTTCTACCGGGCATTGTGGAGATTGGCGTTTGTTATGTGTGTGCTTGTAGTAGGCCAGCTGCCACGGCAGAAAACCAAGTCCTGCATGCTGAGTGAAACATACCGAATGCCCTTTAATAAAACTCAAGAAGTAATAATGAAAGAGTTTAAATTTGCTCTAAGCTAGGAGAAGATAGGAAACATTCTGGAGAAACTGTAAAGAAACAGGGTTTTTTGGTTTTTCATGTGACCTATTGTTCCCTCTGCCCATCGCTTCCCTCCGGACGCTACTCTGGACACAACCTGCCAGTCTTATAAATCCTGTGGTGCTGTCTGAAGAAAAATTCGATTAATGTGTTGTTTTCTCTTCAATTTCCACAATCAGACCTTCCTCAGAGAACTAGTCTCGTGGCTGAAACGACCACAATTGAAATTCACCGAGAAGACACAGAGGAAGAGCTGGGGATGAGGATAGTTGGGGGTAAAGACACCCCGCTAGGAAACATTGTTGTTCAGGAAGTCTTGCGGGATTCTGTCATTGCTGCAGATGGAAGGATAGCACCTGGGGACCATATTCTTGAGGTATGTGGAACCCATTGCTCCTCTTGACTTAATGAGGGCTGGGGAGGGAAGAGTTGCCTAAAAAAACAGGGAAATCTCTACAGCTGAGGGTTTAAAAGCACAGATCAGACTTGTGTGTCAGCAGCATTGGGTATCTGCTGGGGCTGAGGAGCAGACTTCTGAGGTTCCTTCCAGTCATATTTACCTTGCATGTTTGATAGTTCTTTGAAATTTAGACGATTTTGGATAAATAAGAAAGATTTCAATCTGATAAATTTCACGCAGTAGCACCATTTCTCTCCAAAGGATTGTGCTCTAGTTAGGAAGTCTTATAATTACTTGCCCTACTATGTTGCTTAAGCTGCATATTCTCAATGGGCAGGTCCAAAGTTTAAGACCTTATGACTTGAAGTAAGCATCAGATATGTAATGTGAGTAATGAAGAGCGCCAGCCTCGTACGGTGCTGGCCCACAGCCAGATTCAGATCCCAGACTAATCTCGCTGCGTGGCAGTGGGCTACTTGAGGCGGCAGAGGCTTGTGTGCGGCAGCAGAGCCTACGCGCAGGGAGAACTGTTAGCACCTCCCGGCTACGGCTGCCCAGTCATTTGACAAGCTGTAAAGACCTAATTATGCTGTTGGGCTGTGGACTTGAGTATGGACTGGCAGCCCCACATGCACAGGTGGCTGGTACGATCTCCCAGTTGATTTCTTAGATAAGACCAGTAGAGTAGCTTCTATTTTATCCAATCGCATTGTACATGTCTTAGTCCTGACTGGGCTGTAAATAGGGCAGGTCCCACACTTAATAGCTCTATTAACATCCTAAAAGAAGGCAGAGTCTTATGTGACAACAGACAAAACAAAAATTAGCTTCTCGGAGTAAAAGCATGGTTGGACTGATGATTCCAGAAGCTTGTAGGCTACGGACCACTCTTCAGCTTAAAAGTGAGGATGGGTGGTCTCTAATTTGAGTCTTCTCCTCCAAGTGTGTATTGAATGCTGGAAGTTAAGGGAAAGCAGTTCTGCATTGCCATGGGATGGATGCGAAGATTTAATATTTTGCAGTTTCAGATTTGCTAGGTATGCGAGTTGCCTTGTCTTGTCCCCGTCCTCAGCTATTCGCCATCAATCGTGGTCTAATTTCATCTACTTTGTTCTGCATTCTTTTTTAGAAAACTCTTCTCTAACATGCAGCAGCTGCTTCAGTCTCAGCACTGCACAGGGAGTTGTACATCCTGGCTCCAAGTTTTGAAGTTCCGCGCTGCGGACAGTGCCTAAATGATGTAGGTTCTGATTAGTGACTCTGGTTTGTTTGTCTTTCTAGGTGAATGGCGTCAACATCAGCAGCGTGACTCACTGCCAAGCTGTCTCCTTCCTGCGCCACCCAGGTCCTGTTCTCCACCTCATGGTCCTGCAGGAGAAGGGCTTTTCCAATAAGACTGTACAGCAGGATTCCACTTCTGCTACCAATCGGGAAGTCATCCACGTTACCTTGATAAAGAGAGACCGATCCGAACCTTTGGGAATCAAACTGATCAGGAAGACCGATGAGGCAGGGATTTTTATTCTAGATCTGTTAGAGGGAGGTTTGGCAGCCAAAAATGGAAAGCTGAGTCGGAATGACAGAGTCCTGTCAATAAATGGCCAGGATTTGAGGCAAGGAACACCCGAGGCTGCTGCGCAGATTATCCAGGTAATTTATGACGTGGTGAGGTTGTACGGCTAATGACACTGCAGCTCTCTGCGCTGATGGCAGGGCTCCTGTCCTGACCCAAGGGCTAACAGAACACACTGGAGCAAACTGCGTTCCCTGAAATATCTCTTTGGGAAAGTGACTTCCCTGCTGATGTGTGGGAAGCACTGCTTCCAAATGAAGGTAAACATGAAGAGTGGGAATGTGTCGTGAGTCATTTCTGATGAGTCTGAAGTGAGGAAGTTGCTCGTGGCACTTTAGTTCAGCTAAGGCAATTGGATCTCCTTTGTGGAGCCTTTCTTGCAGCATGAATATCCGTACGCACGACGTAGATGTGTGCAGCACAGACAAGGAGAGGACAGGACAGCCTCTCGTGCTTCAAACAGGCAAACTGAAGGTGTTTGTTGGGAGATGTGGTAGGCTGGCAGCACAGAACAGAGCCCTTTTGACTGATTTGAAGCCCTCTCCCCCCATTTTACCTTTAGTTGGGAAGGGAGTCTAGAAAAAAACATGAGGCACCTCAGGCTAAAAACATCCTAAAATATTAAACGGGTAGAAGAGAGGTGGTCTTTCTCTGCATAACAGGAATGCGCTCCTGCTGCAGCATGCCGAATGTTCTGGTGAAAGGAGTGGGCAAGGAATTTTGGTGAAGGATTAAGGATTGCTACGTGTGCAGCAGATACTGTGTAGATCAGTTCAAAGTCTTTATCTCCCTAGGCGGTGACCTCCCGTTTCTTTTTGTCTGAAGATCCTGACACAATACATCTCATCACATACTGTTTATATCCCGGAAAGGATCTGAGGTCAGCAGTGAGGGAGAGCCACTTCTCTTCGTGGTAATCAGCAGAGGAGTGCAGTGGCATGGGAGAAAAGAAGAGAAATTCTCAGGGTTCCAGTACTGAGATACTTTTATGTTATGTATGTGATTCCACGCTATGGCCTCTTAGACTTTTGTGTGTGTCCCACGAGTGCTGCTGTATTTCTGTTGCAATGTGCAAACGGAACTCCCATATGACGAATCTTTCTTAGGTCCCACTCAGCTCAGTAACCAGAGTCTCAGAACCAGCTTCATTAGGTCTGGGGATCGAATTCCTTTTGGAGCGATGTGACGGCCTTCTGAACATTTCTGTTCTTCTGAGAGTGGTTCAAATTCTTGGTTAAATGTAATTTTAATTTGGATTGCAAACTATTTGTAGAAAAGGGTCCTCCTGCCTGTATTGTAAGGTACCATTTATATAGGTCTATACGCACTGTATGTATCCTGGTACTCCGGGTTGGAGGGGAGGGCAAATCCCTGTCTTAGCACGCGATGTTTACATCGTGTTTTATGAAGACAGGGATGTGTGCCAGCTTGTCTGGACAAAAACTTGCTCTATCTGAAGTGGCTTGGAAGGAAAGAGGCTTTTTAAATTCTGCTGCAGAAGACAAAACTCTCCTGTACTAGTTTAAAAAGACAAAAAACCCAAAGCTGTTGATGCGGTCCCTCTTTGAGGCCAGGGAATTCGCTGCTGCCGGGGTGCTGTGGCACCCAAGGGTGCGGTGACCTGCATCAAGAACCAAGAGCAGCAGCCGTGCTTCTCTCGTCCGTGGCAGGAAAAGCCCCAAGTAAGCACATACGCCTTACCCCAGCCGAGTCCTTCACAATAAGGTTTTGTCACATTATCAGACAGAACAAACCGAATTAGAAGAGCTGTAACAATAGTGAATACTTTCCCTGTAGTCCTGCCAAGGCCAGACTTACAGCTGGTTAAGTGTTTAATTGGCAGCAGTCTTAAACAAAAGGTCGTGTTTCAGGTACTCTGGGGAAAAAAAAGGGTGGGAGATGTTGAACAATAGAGGTGGTACATCAGCT